TATAGAATATTTGTCATGAGTCAGTACACTGTGTTGCCTCATCATCAGTTCAAGCATTTCATACATTTGATAGCAGCAGAACCTGAATTTTATAGCTGAGTAAGTTGGTGATTGCCATTAAATTTCTTCATTCCAAAAGCAGTCAGTAATTACTGTATTTGTATGAATGAGACATTAGCACTCCCTCTGCTGGGCATGATTATTGTTGTTAATCTCTTTAAATAAGAATATTTGAAAGAATCTCTTCTATACTGAATCTTCAGAATAGAAGACCCATATGGAATTGTTTTACTTATGTAAAGAATGCTGAGGAACACTATCTAAAACTGTTTTTAAAAAATTCATTTCTTTCAGGGGCTTTTCAGTTAGATTGTTATAATAGACAAATGTTAACAGCTTCAGCAGTTCAGCCAGCCAGTAACAAGGTAATTGTAAATCCCAAATTAGTATGTTACTACTGGCCCCTTTTCACTTCACCTCCACTGTAGTTACCATTTGTGTGACAAGATTGCAATGCGTGAGATATCTTTCACTAGGCAGTGTGGGCCTTGTGGCATTATTCTCCTACTGCCCAACAGCTCCAATAAGGTACTTTCTCTGTCCCCCTTGATTTCTTTTAATCACCTTTTTACAGTCAATTGTGATGGCTGAGAAATAAGTTAATGCTGGTACTGAAAATGAGGGTTCAAAGGAATTGTGTAGTGAGTAGGGGGTGCCAGACCTCACCTCTACATTGTACTCAGACTGTTGTTATTTATATATGGATGCATGCAGGTATCTATTTATTGTATTTGTATGCTGCACCATAACTGAAGAGCTCTCTGGGCAGCTCACAAGTAATGTTTTGGGCAGACTACTTTACCTTTGTAACCTTTTCTAAGTCAATCATGGGGAAGGGGTGCCAAAGACAAGTTTCTTGAATTGCCAAATGTACCCTTGGCCCCATGCCTACCCTTGTTATACCAGAACCATGTGGGTCTTTGTCTTCTCTCCCAGTCCATGCTTAGGTGGAAAAGTTGCTCAAAGCTGGTCCAGGTGGTTCCAGTATACACTTAACTGCAGCATACAGCAGTATAGGATCATTCAATGCTGCAAAGCTGAAAGAGGGGGAAATGTAAGCCACTTCGAGTTCCATGGAAGGAAAAAGGTTGGGATATAAATACAATAAATATATAAATCTGCAATCCTTCAGCCAGCGTAGCGTGTAATACAGGGGTGGGCAACTTCCAGGGTTGTGTGGGGCATCCTTCCTGGAACCTACCCAGGGTGTACTTGCCCCTGCCACCACCGCGACAAATTGGGTGGCCATGAAAACAGCCATTGTGGGGGGCTGCATGTGACCTATCCCTCATCTAATAAACAAGGCATCTTTGTCTTACTGATTAGAAACAGTTGACACAACCAACTGTTCAAACAAATTACAGTTTTATGAGGGACACACATGTATCTATTCCCATATTACCTTCACCATATCATCCTTACATCCATCTGCTTCTAAACCAAAACCCTTAAACCTTTATATATTCCTTAAAGGAAAGATATTCCCGTGTCCTGATAATTTTGTCCTTTTCTGCAGCTCTTCTAGCACTGATACACCCTTTTTTTGAGGAACAAACACTATGGTATATTGTATTTGAACTGTTGTGGTTCTGTGCCAGTCAAAGCGTATCTGACTTATGGTGACCCTATGAATGAATGCTCTCAAAAAATGCCCTGCCCTTGAAAAGCTTCACACACATAGAGGGAGCACTAATTTAATAGCTCTGTGGCCATTGTTCAGAAACACATCTTGAACCAGATCAAGGATGGCAGGTTGTGGCCCTCCAGATGTTTTGGGCTATCGCTCCCATAATCACCACTGACTGCTTGAGTGGTCTGAAATTGTTTTTAGGTCAAAACATCTTGGGGACCATTATTTGCCCATCCTACACTAAATGCTGGTCATTATTTGCATTTAAATTGAGGTTTGCCTCTCCTCATTTCTAAACTTGTATAACATGCATTTTATTTTATCTCAAAATTTTGCCTGCTCATTCATCTTGTCCCCAAATGGGAGACTTTTTTATTTATTATTTATTTATTAAAACATTTTTATGCCGCCCCATTCGCCGAAGCCTCGGGGCGGCTTACAACAAAAAATTAAAATAACATTTTAAAATATATACAATAAAATACAAATATATAATATAAAACATACACTATAAAACAAGCCGCCCTGGCCAAATAAAATTCAATAATATTAACATTTAAAATACTGCTTAAATAAAAAGGTCTTCGCCTGGCGCCGAAAAACAAATAACGACGGCCCCAGGCGGACCTCTCTGGGGAGCGCATTCCATAACTTAGGCGCCACCGCTGAGAAAGCCCTCCTCCGAGTAACCACCCTCCTAACTTCTTCCATGGAGGGCTCCCGGAGAAGGGCCTCTCCCGCCGATCTCAGGGGGCGGCTGGGCATATAAGGATGTAAGACTTGACACTTGATGTAGTGATTCAGCCTTATTCTAGGATGTAGTGTGATGATCTTTGTTACTTCTACAGACTGTTTTATAAAAGAATACCAAGCCTAAGAATGAGCCTTGCATAAACAGACTAGTTGTTCTGAAATCAACATAATGGCTGCTGCAATGGATGGCCTTCCAGTAGTTTGACATACAGTAGTTTGGAAGCTGGTTTCAATCCGATTTCCAGATGCACATCTATTTAAATGCTAGCTCTCACTAGCATTTAAAAAGGAACTCCGCGTCAACATCAGCCTCAAAAAGATAGGATCACTAAGCCAGTCGTAATGACTTGCATTGATCAGGTGAGAAGGGCAAACTCATTTTTGAAAGAATGAATTTTATATATTGTGAGATTCTACAGCAAATATTTTACTTTTACCTTGTTTTTCTACAAAGAAGTATTCAAAACTACTTCTGCTACCATGGAGATACATAGGAGAAATTTTCATGGATGGAGGGAGTGTAATGTGAACCAAAATCGATTCTCAGTTTTATTATGTGTTGTTATTGTTCTTTCCTTCGTTTCCATGCTGCAGCTGTTTTAGTTGTAGCATGGCTTTTTCAAAGTTTAATTAAAACCAATTTGTTTAGCCAACCTTTACTTAAATATAAAGAGGAAAGCAGGCAGAAGAGTAGCAGGCCACTAAAGAAGAAAGAGAATGAGTAAACTGCAGATAATGCTGATAATTCACTTCCTATATCAACTGTTATGACAAGAGAGTTGGTTAAGAAAATAGCCAGGGGTAAGAGCTTGTCAATTCTTAACAAATTTTTTAACAAACGGAAATAATGGAGAATGATCAAGTTCCTAGCTTATCTATCAATACCACCTTAAGCGGACATGTATAGGACTTCAGTCTTATCCTCAACAACTTTTCCTGCAATTTCTAAATGAAGTTGTTGCAATGACAGCAGCTCACAAACACTCTAGGTGAAACAGTAGCCCTTTAATGCCTTACTACCGGGGTGGGCAGAAAAGAGCTCTCCAGATGGACTTCAGTTTCTAGGATCAATGGCCATTGGCTAAGCTGGCAGGAGCTTTTGGGAACTGAAGTCGCAAACATCTGGAGATGTACCTTCTGCCCACTCCTGGCTAATTGATTTTCTCGTAGTATTATCTACAGTGGTGTCAAGACCTCTCTCTTCCTATCAGTCTCTCTTTTTCTGAAAATCGTGGGGTGGCCTAAAGCGCTTCATACTTACTACACTTATGTCAACTAGTCCACCTAGGGCCACATCCTGCTTGGTGGTACAAATACACGTGTCCCTAAGATTCTTGTTTACCAACGACCGAGAGCTTTCTGGGAACTGTTGTTCACCAGCTCTCTACTGAGCACTTTTCTAAGGAGAAAAAACAACAACTCCCATAACCCTTTACGGCTTGGGAGGCGGACAAAGTCTAATTTTCGAAGTTTCGTTTATCATAACTGGCTTAGCATTCTGTCCAATCAAATGCACGAAGTTCATCAAAACAACTGAGTTTTCTATAGACATCTGGTGACAGGCACGGCAATTATCCAATGAGCAGAATGAGACATGTGACGGGCGTCCGTCCCAGCCACTAAAAGTCCAAACTTAATAGACATTGGGTGGGGCTTTCAGGAAAAGAGGAAAGGGAGGGTGGTGGAGAAAAAAAAAGGAAAAGCTAAAGAGACTCTTGTAATGGCGACGGGTTTGGTAAGTACCTCAGAAGTTTTCGAGTCACTGAGAGAGTGGAAGTTGGCGATGATCAGGAAACAGTTTGTTTCAGCTTTCCTTTTTTCCTCGCCCAGCGTCCGTTATGATAAATGGGAAGGAGGGAGGGTGGGTCGTTTTGATCCTCATTTTATACAACGGAGAGAGGGAGAAGAAAGAAGAGGGAGGAAAAAAGCGGGGGCTCGGCACGCCATGGAAGGATTCCTTACTCGCCCCTTCGCCAAGCAAAGCGAAGTTCATACCTGGCACCGTATACCGCCAGGTGTCATACGGACAAGAGCTGCTAAGAGAGTTTTACTTCGGCTTTCTTTCTCATTGGGTTTTTCTTTTTGGGGGGGAGCGTTTCCTCATCGCGGTCTGCTGTGAGCCGCCTGACTGGATGGGCCAAATTTCGAGTCTTGAGCATTTTTCTCTCGGCTTTGGGGTACGGACCCCTCCCCCATCTCCCTCGCTTGTTGTTGTTACGCAGTTCTGAATGAATGGGCCTTTAGGCGCATGCGCCTTGTCCTGAGAGGAAAAAGTTTATAAACAAGGGCCTGTGCCAGGCATCGGGCACGTGACCCAGAAGGGAGGAAGAGGGAGAAGGTTCGCTGGAGTGGCTTTGGCAGCTCCGGCCCTTCCTTCCCCCTCCCTCTGTTAAAGGTACCAATCAGCGCCCCGGGGCTCGTGCTTCTGCGCGTGACTGCAACCGTCCTCCTCCCTCGCTGAGCGCGTGACTGAAACTTGGCAAGCGTGGGGGGCGCGCGCGCGCCTGCCCGGCCCGTAGGGCTCTTCCCCGCCTCGCGCGACCTGGCGTGGTGGGAACGGGGTGGTGCTTGCCTGGCACCAATCCGGAGGCAGGCGGCTCTGGCAGGGGCAGCAAGAACTAGGCCTTCCTCTCTTGTATAACAGTGCCAAGTGTCAAGGAACCACAGCTATGCAGGGCTGCTTTCTGCTTAGCATGCTGTGTAGCTACAAAACGTATCTGTGGCTACTTCCTGGAATGGTTGGGCGGTTAACAAGGGCTACTTCTAGCACAATAGTCGCTTTTAAGGATGTCTGTATGACGGGGAGCCCTGAGCAATCGCTGGCTCAGTGAAACATACAAATATCTTTGGCATGAGGTTATGTGTTTTCAGAGCATATTCAGAGTACATGTGAACCATTACGTTACTATCACACAATCTCTACTGAATGGCACCTTTTAAAATTATTGATGTTTCTCCTGTTACTGTCTTATGCCGATTTTGCTTTGTTTTTTACATTTAATGAATATAGAAAAACTGCAAAGTTTTTGCTTATTTCCAGAATGCCATCAAGAAAGAAGCCTGCCAGATTTAGTTGGTCAGGGTATTCATTGTGTGGATTTAATAGCAGCTTGTACAAACTCATATTGTGTATGGGCATATGATTCTCAGTATTTTTTAAAAATACAATACTGAGGCCATGATTTATATATTTTATAGGAAATGTCAAAACTTATTATTTATAAAAGACTTATGTGATAAGCGTTAAGGCAACATCAGAACAGTAATCTAAGGCACTGGAATGGTTCCTACAAGCATCCTTTCTTTGAGTTATCTTTTTGTAACATCATGTAATAGCACATTAAATTGGTTTACACATAATGCCAATTATTTGTCCACCAACGGGTGGAGCTGAGCCAAGCAAGTGAATTAAATGAACAACTTACTCTTAACATAATGCTTGAACTCTGACACTCTGAATGTAACCCAACATTTACACATGGTTGTTTGTTGGATTAACAACCCACGGTGTCTGGATTTGGAAGTAATACTAACAAACTATGAATGGGGCAATCACAAATTGTTAACTGAGAATGAGAAGTGCCCAAGACACAGTGCATTCAATTGGTCCCACTGACCATCACCTGTCTGTGGGTTACATAACCCATGAATTGGCATTATGAACCAGGTCATATTATTTCATTAAATCCTTGCTTGTTTTTGTAAGTTGCAAAACTGCTTTGGGTAGAAGCGGGGAAGGATCAATCGTGGCATCAAATTCACCAGCCAATATAGACTTGGCACCCCTGACTTCTTCCATACTGTACAACTTGTGTCTCCTGAATTGAGGACTGAAAGGGAATAGGTATGTCTGACTTAGCAATCCCTGTGTTTTGATATGCATGTATATACTTGTATCCAACTTTTTCATAATGGAATATTGAAGAGCCAGACTTATTTAGCCACTTAGTAGTTTTTGTAGGACACAGTTATATACTATCACTGCTATGGCTAATAGACAAATGGGCAAATTCTGTATGATGTTGTGGATCACCATTTTATTTTATTGTGTAGAGTGTAATTAAAGATCCTTATTGCCTTTATTCTTTTCACTTGATTGAAAGACTTAAGGTAGAAAGTACTTAACAGCTGTTAGAGATGTACCTCTCTCTAAGTGGCATGATAGAGAAGCCTTATTCATGTCTATTCCACATGGTTTTAGGCAATAGATGTGCCTGCAAAATGTAACATATTCTCAGAAAAAATAAGTCTTAAAATGGATGGCAAACATCCCTGTTTTCAAGCAGCCTACTGCACTCTACAGATTATGGTTGAGGGCCAGAGGTGTATTTGCTGTATAAACTATAAACTTGACCTTTCAGTCATTAATAGTCAGGACCCATAATATTGTACTATCTGGAGTGTATGTATGTAAGCATATAATTATCTACATATTTACATGTTGTATAGTACATTAAGGTGTGGAATAGCTCTCTGTCACAACTTTGTAATTACAGCTGAAATCATGGACAACTCTTTTAATCACATCTTGTTTAAAATTGGATAGTTGTCCTCGTCAGAGTGTTAAGCCAAGCACCCTCTCTTCCAGAATATGCCGTGCAACTACTCTATCATTTTCCCATTTCTGACAGATCTTCAGCATTCTATAGCCACTGAGCTTGCTCAGTCCGCATTGTACTGTATTTAGAGATGTGAGTTTTAAAGAGTTCCTCTGGGGGTGGGAGTTGTATGTGTTTCAAATTGGCAAATACATCTTTGGTGACTTGTTGGTGGATCTGGATCTTACTACTTATATAGTAGTTATGGCAGCAGAGTGAATTAATACGTTTTGTTTATTTCTGCTTAAGTCAGATAATTTGAAGCATCCTACAATGGTTTGGGAAGTAAAGACTAATCAAATGCCTAATGCAGTACAGAAGCTTTTATTAGTGGTGGACAAGAGAACTTCAGGGATGAATGAATCATTGGAATTACTAAAGTGTAATGAGACCCTCCCATCTTCTCCTGGATATGCATCCTGTGATGAGCACATGGAGCTTGGTAAATACTTCTTTAGCTTTTTTGAAGTTGTCTAAGGAATTGGCATTTTTATTTTTTTCCCTGGGGGCACAATTTATCAAAACTATCCTACCTCAGCTTAATCCAAATTTGTGTCGTGCTGGTTTGTACATGGGAATCACTTTTGACTTCTGATTTATTTGCAGATGATCTTCCTGAACTGCAGGCTGTTCACACTGATTCTACACCACCTGCACTTTTCCAGCTAAGTGCTGATGTCTCCCATCAGGAATATTCTAGGCCTTTGTGGAACCAGCATACCTCAAGCAACAATTCAGAAAGTTCTTATACTTGTGAGAATGGAGTGAACTGGTTGACTGAATTGGCAAATATAGCTACTAGTCCACAAAGTCCTCTCATGCAATGTTCTTTTTATAACAGGTATGACATACTGAGAATGCTTCCCATTTCAAGTGGAAAGTTTGAAAATCCATGTTTTGCATTAAAGCTGGGAAAACGACCATATTTCCTTTCAAAGTTAGTGCTCCTTTTCTGATACAATAGTTGGAATCTTCTTTCTTAGCCATATTATCTTTAGATAACCACTTATTTCATTCCTGTGTCAGAAGGAGCTTAGGTAATGATAATTTCTCTGCAGTGCTAGAATGAGAAATAGAACAACTTGCTTGTATGGAACTCATATCACTTCAATGTTTTATAAATTACTTAAGAACACAATGGTTTAGTCACAGGATTTCTTAGAATTCCCAGCTCTGACATCAGGAAAATCATTGAGTTGGGACTCTGCTCAGAGCACCCTCCTTCCCTTGCAACCAGTGTGGAAAGAACTGCACTGGGTGCTTTCCCAGGGTTGCAAAGGTGACTTCAGAGAAGGGATTTGGGGGGTGTTTTACTGGGAGGGAAGACCAGCAATTCCGCCTTCTTCCCTCCCCATACAAAGCCTGGCAGTTAGAAATAAGCTGTCTTTGCTTCTGCACCCCTCTGACTCTGCATTGGATATCTATAATCTTCCAAGTTCGGAGGATTATGCTGTTCAGAGGATTAAGTTCAGAGGAAGTTGTGTCCGACCCATCGCGACCCCATGGACAACATTCCTTCAGGCCTTCCTGTCCACCATCTCCCGGAGTCCACCTAAGCTCACACCAGCTGCTTCAGTGACTCCATCTAGCCACCTCATTCTCTGCCGTCCCCTTCTTCTTTTGCCATCTATCGTTCCCAGCATTAGGCTCTTCTCCAGGGAGTCCTTCCTTCTCATTAGGTGGCCAAAGTATTTGAGTTTTGTCTTCAGTATCTGGCCTTCTAAAAAGCAGTCGGTTGATCTCCTCTAGGACTGACAGGTTTGATCGCCTTGCGGTCCAAGGGACTTGCAGGAGACTGCTCCAGCACCACAATTCAAAGGCCTCAATCCTTTGGCACTCAGCCTTCCTTATGGTCCAGCTTTCACAGCCGTACATTGCAACTGGGAAAACCATAGCCTTGACTGTACGCACTTTTGTTGGCAGGGTGGTGTCTCTGCTTTTCAGTATGCTGTCTAGATTTGCCATAGCTTTCCTCCCCAGGAGCAAGCATCTTTAAATTTCTTGGCTGCAGTCCCCGTCTGCGGTGATCTTGGAGCCCAGGAAAATAAAATCTGTCACTACCTCCATTTCTTCCCCATCTATTTGCCAGTAAGTGATAGGACCAATGCCACGATCTTAGTTTTCTTAATGTTGAGTTTCAAGCCAACTTTTGCGCTCTCCTCCTTCACCCGCATCAAGAGGCTCTTTAGCTCCTCTTCACTTTCTGCCATGAGAGTGGTATCATCTGCATATCTGAGGTTGTTGATATTTCTCCCTGCAATCTTAATTCCAACTGGTGATTCATCTAGCCCCGCCTTTCTCATGATGTGCTCTGCATATAAGTTAAATAGGCAGGGTGACAGTATACAGCCTTGTCGAATGCCTTTCTCAATTTTGAACCAATCAGTGGTTCCGTGTCCAGTTCTCACTGTTCCTTCTTGACCCGCATATAGGTTTCTCAAGAGACAAATAAGATGGTCTGGTACTCCCATCTCTTTAAGCACTTGCCACAATTTGTTGTGATCCACACAATCAAAGGCTTTAGCATAGTCAGTGAAGCTGAAGTAGATGTTTTTCTGGAACTCCCTAGCTTTCTCCATGATCCAGCGTATGTTGGCAATTTGATCTCTAGTTCTGCTCCCTCTTCGAAATCCTGCCTGTACTTCTGGTAGTTCTTGGTCCACATACTGCTGGAGCCTAGCTTGTAGGATTTTGAGCATAACTTTGCTAGCATGTGAAATGAGTGCAATGGTGCGATAGTTTGAACATTCTTTGGCATTGCCTTTCTTTGGGATCAGAATGTAAACTGACCTTTTCCAATCCTGTGGCCACTGTTGAGTTTTCCAAGTTTGCTGGCATAGTGAGTGTAGCACTTTTACTACATCGTCTTTTAAGATTTTGAATAGCTCAGCTGGAATACTGTCACCTCCACTAGCTTTTGAAGGCACTAAAATCAGAACTATTGCTTTGTGTCCTTTCCTCAATAGAAAGGAAGGTAGCAGGAAGCTGGAGCAAGCTTCTTAGCTGTCCTGCCTGTAAGTGCACTGTCGTTAAAAGGTCTGTGCACTTGAACCTGTGTTTCAGTAACAGCTGGCATAAGGACTATTGGGAATTTAAGGACTTTCCTTTCCTTTGCAGTAGTATGCTAAGTTAAAAACTTTTTGCCAAGTCCAGCATACCTTTTTAGGCTTCCTCTCTTCATAAAAAAACCTTTCCTCTTTAGCAGCTATCCAGAGGTCAGCCTGGTAGAACTTCTGAAGTTTAGAGTGATGCTCTCTCCATGCTCCAGGAATTGTGTGTATTTAATCTAATAGATTAAAAGCTGGTTGAGCTGCTTGCAGCTTTTGTCAGTCTCATATTTGTTTCTTTTCCAAAATATGTGGAGAGGAGAGGAGGCATTGAACATGACTTCCCAGGGGCCACTGGGTTGGGTCTTCTTAAGTAATAACTAAAGCAGTCTTGCATATTCTGACAGAATTGCTAATAAATTACAGTGTCCCCTTTTTTGATTAAAACTTGCTTATATATACTTAAAAAATCTTTTTTAGATCATCTCCTGTTCACCTAATAGCTACAAGCAAAAGTTTACATTCCTATGCACGGCCGCCACCAGAATCCTCTCAGACTGATTCTGGTTTTCCTAAGCATCACATTGATGAAACACCAATCAGACATGAAAGGGTAAGTTGCAGAAGCTGAAGTAATTGAATACCTAGAGATGTGTTTTTAGAAATGGAAATGGCTTCATTTTGCAAGCTATATATTTACATTTTTTTACTTGTTTAGTGCAATCTATGTGATTTTTCTTTTTTACATGGTGTGAAAAGCATCCAATCAAAGAAAGTTACAGAATGAACTAGGAAAGTCTGATCTTTGCAATGCTCACTGTTTTAGGCTAGGGTTAAAAACAAATCAGTTGAAAGAAAAAAGATGGGCAGAATTCACATAAGAGCTTGCACTTGTGGGTTTGAATTGCAAATGAAAGGGAGTTGGGAAGCATGACAGATTATGTCTGTTCTTAAAGATGGAACTGAGTGAATGGTTTGTGAAGGATTTGTTCCTTGGACAGAAGTATGGAGACTGCAAAAGTTACAAAAATTAAGAATAATGGAGAAAGTGATGGGTATGGTTAAGTAAAATATAAGAAGTCAGGCAGCTTCCTCTTCCAAGGAATCCAGTGAGGTAACATTTGCATAACCTGTCATAGAACTATTTCTTCAGAAACCATCACATGGTTTTGTTTCCTCAATAGACAAATAGTGAATCAGAATCTGGCATTTTCTGCATGTCATCACTGTCGGATGATGATGATCTGGGATGGTGCCACTCTTGGCCTCCAACTGTTTGGCATTGTTTCCTTAAAGGTAAATTACCATAAAGTAAAGTACTATAAATAGCAGGGTTTAGGCATCAGGCTTATCTTTTTGGTGACATCACATTTCTTTCTTAAAACCATTAGGAACACGTTTATGCTTTCACAAAGGACGCAATAAAGAATGGAAGGATGTTGAAGATTTTGCAAGGTCTAAAGGCTGTAAAAATGAATCTGAGGATTCAGTGGGTACTTATAAAGTAAGTTTTGTGCTCTCCACATTGTTCTGTAAATGGAAACTCTGACTCTAATACTTTGTCAGTTGCTTCTGTTGATTAAATTGTAATTGTACCATGCTTGAAAGAGACTGGGATGAGGGAGATATTTTGTGTTCCATTTTTGGGGAATGGCAGTCCACAAAGATGACAGTGTGAGCAGGAAAAGGTAGGTGAGTGTGCTTTGCTTCTTGGTTACTCACTCAGGAGCAACTGCAACTTCTCCAAGGCAGACAAACAGGAGGTAAATTACATGGTGAGTGTTGTGAAGGGAAAACTCCTATTCTGAATCATTGCTTCATACGTCAGCAATAGTTTGCACAAAAACCTTCTGCTTGGGGGTAATGTTGTATGTAGCAGGCAGTGACTGAAAGTAGGGGGACAATTTTTTAAACAATAGTGGCACAGCCATGAAATTCTGTATGGGGAGGGAAATTAGCTGTTTACTCCTAAGTAAATTAACCACTTTTTTACTTGTTTTAGAATTAAAGTGGTTGCCATGTCCATAGGTTGGTTGAACATAGGTTTAAGTTCAACATCTTAAAAGCTCTCCTGTTTATACAGGGATATGGTTCTGATGGACTGAAGTTGATATCTCATGAAGAAAGTGTTTCCTTTGGTGAGTCAGTACTAAAACTGACTTTTGATCCTGGCACAGTGGCAGATGGCTTGCTTACTGTAGAGTGTAGACTAGATCATCCTTTCTATGTTAAAAATAAAGGTAAGATTTTTTGTTGTAGTAGACTTACTATGGACATTAAAACATATGAAGGAAAAACTGGAACATCACTTTATAGTATATTCTAGTAATTCAAATGCAACATCTTTATTGACTTGAAACTTCCATAGTCATTCCCAGAAGACACCATCTTCATTTTTTCTATATTCCAAAGCTTTATCGTAGGCAAGGAATTCTTTTAAGTTCCTGTAGTTATATGGGACAGATTCAGAAGTCTCATAAGCAGAACTTACTGGAGGAAGCAGGAAAACTGTGGGAGAAGATTATTTCCCCTGTTTCCCAGAGAGGCTGCTCCAGAGCTTTGAGGAATCATCTAGCATAAGAAATGGTAAAACGGACTGCAAAGGGGAAGGATAAAATTGAAAATTGCCTCCCATCCTTCCTTCAGCAGGAGTGCCTACTGGAATTCAGTCCCTTCCATGTATGGAAGTAATTCTTCCACTAGTAGAAGGGACACTCCAGATCCAAGCCATTACTTACCATAGAATTACCAAGGAATGCCCATTAACAGTTATACTAAATCCTGTAAATTTTTCAACAAACAGTAATAGTGTCTTATAGCAATCTATTTTAAGTGGCTTGCACTACATTTCTCTTGTTTATAGTAGTCTTCCTATTTTGCAAATACAGCAGGTTTTCAAGGAATCAAAGCAGTTTTGATAGGATTGAAAGCATTACATATGAGACTGCAATGAATGACATGATTTACATATTGCAAAATGTAGGTTAATTAATCCATGATTTATGGGAATGCCAAACAATTCTGGCTTGAATAAATGACCTACAAATGCTCAATATTCATAAGCTGTTGGTGTGAGGTCTGAATTCAATCACTCTGGCTATTGTATGATTTGTTCTTGAGTTAACTTTCTGTTGTTTAATCGATAAGCAACACCGAAAGCATGTCCATACAAGATGCTAAACCCCTTGGGAATTTTAGCAATGCCTAAAATTCCCATGTGCCCAGAAGACATTCAAGCATAGTGGGGGTAGGGGCCTTCTGAAGGTATATTATGGAACCCAACAGGAATAGTGAGGTTTCCCCTCTTCCCATCAGCTTGTCGGTGATGCAGGTGGTGGTGGAATAAGCTGCTGTGCTTAGCTTTCTCCCCAGGAAGTCAAGCAGAACAGCTTATTCCCAGTTGTGGCACCAGTGAAATATGCTGTGAACCATGGTGGTGAGCAGGGGAATTTATTTATTTATTATTAAAACATTTCTATGCCGCCCCATTCGCCGAAGCCTGGCATCCTCCCCAGGCAACTTGTTTCCCTGCAGACTTCATCTCCCCATCCCATAAGGTTATCAGAGGTGGGGTCATAGTCCCCTTCCCATACTCAAGAGTAGACACAAGAGAACACGCCTTCTCTCCCCACCCTGCCCACACAATTCCCTGCAATTGTAATGGCAGGCAGTGGAATGCTCCCCTTGGCGTATTCCCAGATGGATCAGGAGACTGCATCCCCTCAGTGAAGTATTCTAATAGACCTTCCATTCATTTCACATTAGTTAATGGGATTACCAGCGAGTTTAAAATGAAAAATTAAAATAGTGACACAGGCAGATGTGTATTTGCTTACATCTGAAGAAAATGCTGATCTTTTAAAATTATTGCTTCCTTCCCCTTTCTCATGTAAGTGGTGCCTTGTGTATATATTGTTGGGCAAATTCTCTGTGTGTCATTTCTTATTGTAAATGTGTAGTTGTAGGTACATTAATTAAACAGCTAACAGGAAGCTAGCAGTTCTAAACACCACTTATCCCACCTGAACAAGCTGAAGCAAAGATACATGGCTTGTGCTGCAAATAAGACTGTTAGCTAAAATCCAGTTTTTAATAAATTATTTGTGCTTATTGTTTCTAGGAAATGAGGATGCTCTGTAACTAAATAGGTGGATAATTTATCTGATCTTTTTCATTCAGGTTGGTCATCTTTTTATCCAAGCCTGACTGTGGTTCAGCATGGTATTCCGTGTTGTGAAATGCATATTGGAGATGTTTGTCTACCTCCTGGACATCCCGATGCCATTAATTTTGATGATTCAGGTGTTTTTGATACATTCAAAAGGTAATTCATACAGTAGACAGAAGTGTTCCTTTCTGCATGCTTTTCTAAGCTCTTGGTTTTTTTATAGATTGAGTTGCCATTTTAAAAAATAAAACATCTTTCCTCTGAATGTCTGCATCTGTGATATGTAAATGTTTAGAAAATGACAAATATGTAGTCCTGGATATTAATTTTATGTAATTTAGAAAGGGCATTTCTCTCTTCTATACTCATGATAGACTAAATATCAATGCTCTACCAGTAGTATCAATAAAAATGGTAGAATTATCAAACCTATTCCACTAGGGGGTGGAAGGCTACCAATTCTAAGCTGAATAAATAAAATTCCAATTACAAGTCCTTTTAATATTAAACCATATGAATGCATTATTGAAATATTCTGTATCTTATCCATTGTAATTGTTGTGCTAATATATTATCAGATTTTGAGCTTCCAGTAGAAAGGTATGCAGATATTTCCCTTGTAACCTTCTGTTAAGCTGCACTTTACAGTAAATCTTGATTTTAGAAGCAAAAACTGTAATGTACTCTAAAGTGCTATTTCCATTTCAGTTATGATTTTACACCAATGGATTCCTCTGCAGTCTACGTGTTAAGTAGTATGGCTCGTCAGCGTCGTGCTTCTTTATCTTGTGGAGGATCAGGAAGTCAAGATTTTGAAAGATCAGAATGCAGCACAAACTGTGGGCCTGCTCAGTCATCGCAGAATTCTTTGCATAGCAAAGCTGGCAAAAGCCACAGCTCAGGGACTGCAAGTACTGTGAGTGCCACTTCTCCCAACAAATGCAAAAGACCAATGAATGCCTTCATGCTCTTTGCCAAAAAGTACAGAGTGGAATATACTCAGATGTATCCAGGAAAAGATAACAGGTATCAATATGTGTGTTTTTAATTTTATTTATGTTTCATGTGTAAGGGGTTCAGATAGAGATTTCTGTGCAAATTCTGTTGGCCTGATAAATGATAAAGCTTTATTTTTAGACAGTTTCTTGTCCTTATGTTCACCAGAACCTCATAGGAGTCTGCTGATGGAAATATCATTGCATGTTTTTCAAAATGATTCAAAAAGACAAATTCAGATATTAGTTACCTGGATCAGACATAACAGTTCTACCGCAAAAAACCATGATAACATTTCCCTACAGGCCTTACAAACCATTATTGCAAACCAGGATCAAATCACAGTTTGTAATCTAGGTTATAGGCATTGTTTCTGTTTTGGATCTCATAGGGAACAGATTTAACAAATGAGGAAGCCACCTCTAAAGGAGGGGCAGAGGAAGCACCTGTTCCTCATTCTAATGATTTTGTTGAATAAAGAACGTTAGATCTGAACCAGACTGCTATTTCTAAAATCTACTGCCTCTATTTTAGTGGTTTTGCATTTTGAATGATAGAACGGGAAGTCAGAACAAAATTACCACATGTACCATAATTAATGGGCATATCAAATATGACAATCACATTTGATATTCCCAGTATTGACAGGTGCTAATAAGCCAATCTAGCTACATACTTCCATGATTATAGGAATCTTCAAAAGATGTGTTCTCTACACAAAGGGTATTTTTCCCCCTTAGAGGAACACATTTAAAATAAAGGAATAGTATTTTCTGTTAAGGAGGTAATGTACCAATGAAGGGGGGGGGGGGTCTCAGACACTTAATTTTTGGCAGATTTTCAGAGCAACTTTCTAAGCTTACCTTTGATTCTGTTACTTTCATATCTGTGTATGACTGTAAGCATCAACTACTGCACAAAGTTCCTGCATAAATTGTACTTACTGTTTGACAGAAAAAATTCTGGTGGGTTGTACTTCAAATGGTGGAGTATAGTCACTGTTCTGTATGCATGAGGACCTTATGATGGTTGATTTCTTTATTGTAGAACATACAAATAATAATAATACTGCTTTCCTCCTATTCTCTTTAGGATCAGAATTATACCCTACTTGTTTGCTAGTGGTGAATGATGTGGCATACATAAAACATCATTAAAACCTGCAATGTACTGTGTGCTACATATCATAACTAATTTTAGGGTACAGCTCTCTGTACACTTATCTGGGAATAAGGGTTGGTGAACAAAATGGAACTTACTTTGAAGTAAACCTGTAAAGGAAATAACCTACCTAGGTTACTTTTGTATTGTTTTCTTATTTGAGCAAACGAGTTAGACACTGAGCTTATTGATGATGCTGTCTTTCAATTAACAGCATCTAGTTTTAAGACTAAAATGTATAAAATTTTGCATTCATAAACAATGCACTAGGAGAACTGGAAAGTAAGTATAAACTAGTCAAATAGAGTTGTATTTACTCTGTAGTACATTAATAGGAACTCTATAGCATATTATGAAGGCTTAACTGTTCACCACGGTGCCAGAGTTTGCATGGGTGCTAGTTTTTTTCATTGGTGTACATGTTTTTATAGTCTGTTCTTGAACCACCTAGAAGTGTCTTTTAGGTAATCCTTTATGCACTTTAAATAGCATGTATCTTTCCAAAATCTATGATTTTTGCCACGTCAGTGATTATCTAATGCCATTCAGCCATATTTGCAGAAGAATGGCTTTCTAGTATTTAAAAATGTCTCCAGAACAGTAATTCTAAAATGTTGGCACACAGGGCGTTAACAGATACTGTTTGTATAACCATAGTGTTATAGAACAGTTTAAAAAATTGTACTCAAAATGGAAAAGGGCGATATCAATAATTGCTTGAGCTTTTTCTCACATCCAATTTCTGTCTATGCTGTCATCAGAAAGAAAATGGACACTAGAAAATATTCAATTGGATTCCTTCATTAAATATTTTACAAATATTTCTTTCTCAGAGCCATAAGTGTGATACTTGGTGACAGGTGGAAGAAAATGAAAAATGAAGAAAGACGGATGTACACATTGGAAGCCAAGGCCTTGGCTGAAGAACAAAAGCGTTTAAATCCTGACTGCTGGAAACGGAAACGAACAAATTCAGTATGTTTTCCTCTACTGACATTTAATAACACATCTTAGTACTTGGGAGTTCATATAGACTATATCATGACAGTGGGGTGCAAGCTAATTAAGACAGCCAGAACATAAACCCCTCCTGTGTAATATTTGATTCTGAGGTGCAGATTCAGAGCTGACTTTTCCTTTTTTCATAGAGATGCCATTTGGCAATTTCCTTCCTTGTCTGTTAATATCATATGAAAATGGGATTGGGGGATAACAGCAAAATCTCAGTCTCCAGCTGAGCTGTTTCAGTTTCTTTTCCCATTCCATGCTGCAGCTGTTGACATCAGAGGAAGGGGAAAGAATAGTAAACACAGCTGTAATTAGCAATGGCAAATTTTGTACATTTATGGATCATTGAGACCTATGAAAACATTTTCTTCTACCAAATGATACTTCAGAAGCCACCCAACCACCAGTATTTGGACAGTGATAGCATATACAGCTTTATTGCAGTGTTTTTGTTTTCTCCACTTCAGTACATACTCTTAAGTGTCTGTCTCCACTCTGTTAATGTTGGCACTTCATTTTTACGCTGCTGATGCTGACAAGAGAGAATGATTTCTCAGTAATAGATGGAGCCACAAACCAGTTAAAGCCAGGATAGATTAGATTTGATTTGCAACTGTTGTTTTACATCTACTCCAGTGATGACAGACAAGCCAAAGCTCTGCCCCTTCAGAGGCTATCCTGCTGAAAATAATTCTTTACCACTGGCCCACAAGAACCTATAAAATATGCTGTGTTTAGTACATTCTGGCCAAGGTTAACAATGACCTTGGGAAATGGGAGTGTTTTTTGTGTTACCCAGCAAAGGAAAACTGAGCTGGGCACTTTACCCAGTTGCAAAGAGCACATTCTTTGCATTGGATCCAAGATAGTGTTATTCAAATAAACATCGTAAGATCACCTGCAGGTTGTTACAACAAGCCCACAGCTGGTTTTTGTGGCTGTGCTGAAATAGATCCAAATGTAGTAGTAATTTCCATGACCAGATTGACCCTGTATATCTCACTTTCAGTCTGAGCTGTCATTGGAATGTCTGCTTTTCATTTACAGGGTTCACAATAACAGTAAATTGGAATCATTCTGCAAGTACCTGACGGTAGAAGACTTGATCAAGATTTCATGATTTGTTGTGAAGGTGTGACCATACAATACCGGCAGCAGTGAGTCGTTAGGAATGAGGATTTGCTTATTACAGTAGAAGATTAAGCAAGCTAAAAACTATCAACATTTTAAAACCAAATTGCCTTATTTTTCTTCCAAACTACATATATGTCTATCAGGTGTAATAGGCTTGAAAAATGGATATCCTGTGGTGCTAAAAATAGTAGGAAGAAGAGGAGCTTTGTATAAATGTTTATTTTTTAAAAGATGCACAAAAGGGGAATTTTAAAACATGTAACATCTGTTTATACTTTGATTCTTATTGCTGATTAATACATATTGCACAAACTATGTAGTTAACTACAAATCTGGGAGCTGGGATTTTCTGACATAATATAAGAACTGCCCAGTGCCAACAAGTTACCAGAATGTGTGGCAAAGTGGACAGCAATAGTGTATACTATATGTAGCAAGATGGTTGTCTGTTTGGGAAGATCACATTAATAACTTATTTCAGGTGTGGTTCCCTTCCCAGTAAAAGAAAAGACTTGTAGAACTGCCTGGAGTCTAGTTAACAGCCCAGGATTAAATTCATGAGTAGCATTGCATTATCCCAAAAGAATGGTGCTTTTGTGGTATCACCATTTTATTTTTAAATTTTTTTGGTCTCCTATGCTGCGTATTTTAAAAGATTTTATTTTGCCATAAGAAATCTTTTATGGTGGGGACAAACTTTGCACTTACTGTAGGTGCAACATTTGCACTTTACTTTTTCCCTCCATCTATCTAAAGTAGAGCAGATATGTTAGATTTATGGCTACTTTTGCTGTGAACATTTACAACATAGCTTTTAATGTTACTAAATAGAGTGTGTTTCTGTTTAAGAATCACAACAATAAATTTCAGCACCTGACATGTCTACGTCTACATGATGTTGCTCCTATGATTTTGCACACTATATTCATGTATTATTTCAAATAAATTTGTAAAACAGTGTTGTCTAGAATTTTGTATTCATAAGCTATACATCAAGTTAGTCTTGAAACTAAATGCCAATGATTGCTTAAGTAAAAGAACATTTGAACGGCAAGGATATGTAGGATTTTTTAAAATTAAGTAGACTCCCAGTAGTGAGTTCAAGATCAAAACATTTTATGAAATTGTTTATTACGTGAACATTGAGATTTTAATTCCTCTAATAACTTTAAAGCTTCAGGATTGTTCGTGAAAAGCAAATGTGGTTTTTTCTTAGTTCATGTAGCACTTGCTCCCATGAAATTCTGTACAAACTATTCCATACTATCAAACATAGGAAAAGCCTTTTTGCAATACAAATGTTTGGTTTCTAAACTCAACATGACATTAGAACATCATTCAAATTGTGTATAGGAAAAGCTAAAGCTTGAAGGAGATTTTTGAAAGAAGAAAGCAACACTATTTATACAAGTTCTGATCATAAGATCTCCAGTACGTTCCAACAAATGTTTTACTGAAGAGAAGATAGTGCTTTCTGCAGCAGTTGTACCATTATAGGATAAACCGGAGCAAATTCTTTTCCTTCTCTACTTCTTACTGATTGAACATAAGCTTCCAATGCACCTCTGTGTGAAAGGGGGGGAAAGTGTTAGAATCAATGTGTTTCTTATTACAAGTTCACTTCACAGTAGATACGTTGCAAACAAACAGCCTAGAAATGCCAATCCCTTTGTTGTTAAAAGCTCAGCCATGGCTTACACTCACTAGAGTAGAAGGTATCTAATGACAGCGGTGTGTGTGCATGTGTGCACACCATCTCTGTTTCCTTGCAGGGGATGGAGACACTTTGGCACAGTGGCCAAATTTAACCTGGGCATCCAAGATGGTTGCCTGGGATACTCGGCCATATGTATTTCTCTCATCTGCTAATTCCCCCACTATTAACCCCCGCAACACACACAGAACATGCTGGTGTGTGTGTATTATTATACCCATTTTTCAGTATATGGCCTCCAACAGCATCTCTGAAATTGAACTTGGCCCGCAGGCTGAAACTCCCAAACTTTCCTTTAAGGGTTGATCAACAGACCGGTTTGTAAATGTGAAAATTCAAACAGGAGTGGGCCCCATTTCTGATTCCTTCTGGCAGAAATTCTCTGACCCTTGTCATGATTTATTCTACTCATTCCAAAAAGATATTTATTTATTTATTTATTTATTATTTATTAAAACATTTTTATGCCGCCCCATTCGCCGAAGCCTCGGGGCGGCTTACAACAGATTGTAAAAAGATTGTGGCAGAAAAGACAATGGATCTGAAGATTGCTTGCCCAGATCTAGTCATTTGTTCAGGCATAATATGAATAGAAACATGAATCTAAGTGTGTGCCCCCCACTCACATTCTGCTTAAGCTAGTCATGTGTAATTCTATGGAACCAGAACTAGGTTTGGGTGAAACCTAGTGTTAAGCAGAACATGACACTCCATAGTGGAGTAATATCAGGCTGGTTGCCTGGGTGACAAGGACACATTTCTTCTTTTCCCTTCAACAGAACAAGGAAAAGCAAAGGGGAAAGATAGAAGCAGGATATTTATGCAACTGGAAATGACATGTAATTCTTCATACAGCTTTCAAGCCTTTCCATTTTCCTTTCTGTTTTATACAACATAGAACTAATGACTCAGATGAGGTTAGTAAAAACTAGATAATGCACATGAAGTGCACTCAACCGATGCTGCTTTATAATCTCATCAATTTAAAAAAAAACTTTTACTATTTACTAAATGAATCTGTAGCAATTCTAGACTGGTAATTTTTCGATTCTTAATCTAAGATGTTAAGAGTTACCTAAGTACCTGATAAAATCAAGTGGAAACAAAGGCAATAGCCCTTTAAAAACTACATGACCCAACCATTCAGCTCCAAAATCAGGTTTGAGGCCACTAGCCCTCTGCACCATGTGGTATCCTTTCTCTCCCTTACTAAAATTTACTCCTGAGTAACACTACAAGGGTCCTCTTCCATGTTTTCCAGAGTCATGCAATAAAATGTAACTAGAGCAAGAACACACTATAATGTTTTGTTTCAAGTCCCTTCTAATTATTAACTCGGTCAAGTGCCTATCAATACTGAAGTAAAACAGCCTTTTCAAAATAAAGTTGTTTGTCCATACTTGAGGGACTTCCTGGAATTGCAGAAAATACATACATTTGTATACTTTTTAATAAAGCCAACCACAAATAGGAAGGAAGCAAGGAGTGGTAAATGTCAACTGGAAAAGAAGAACTGAAAATTAAAAGTGTCTATTAACTGCTTTGTAGACCCTAGAAAAAAGGCATGGTTTCCTGCTTGCCTGGATCACTCTTGGTAGGATCACTCTTATTAGGAGACAAAGGTATACTTTCTGTTGTAAGGCCCATTTGTAAAATAAGAATCCTAAAGGAATACAATATTACATAAATACATTAAATAAAAAAGACCAAATGGTAAGTGGCACATTAAGCAGAACACTAGTCAAGAGACAGTTTAAACAGCCAATCTTCTGAGACAGACAGTTCCATTTTCCAAATGCTACAAGCAAAAAGGCCCTTCTGCATATTCCCAACAGCTGAACCTCAGAAGGTAATGAGATGTATGGAAGCGCTTCAGTGGACAAACAAGATCATATGGGCAGAAACGGATCCTTTAGGTATCCTGGTCCTTAAAGGAGATAACCAGCACTTTGAACTGTGTCCACAAATGGACTGGGAGCCAGTGGAGCTAGTACAACAGTGCAGTAACATGCTCTAAACCATTGGCTTCTGGACAATCTTGCATACTAATATCCCAGGCATTATCCGAGTGTGAATACTCTTGGGAAGGAACATACTAGGAGGCTTGAGGAAATGACCTTAATAAAGCTTTTTTTGGGTGGGGGAGATAATCCAAAGAAGAGTGAGCAGAATGCTGACCAACAGCTGTGGAACTGAACACTGGAATGGAATGGAATAGGACATGGTGTGCTCACAGCCCCCTCTCTGTGCCTGCCAGGCTCCTGCCTGGCTTTCCGCTATGTGTGGTTTTTAGATTTAGAAAAGTTTTTCCCAGAAACTGGCACTTGGCAAAATGAAGCATTAGCCTCCAGTGCCACCTTAGCTTCCAAGAATGTTTATGGGCCTGAGAGTCACTCAAAGAACAATAACACTGTTATGTGACTACAGTCCAGCTGTGTGCCTAGCAATAAGAAAAAAGTAAGGAATGTGGGAGTATGATGGTGGTGCTAGAACAGCATCTGCCAGGAACCAAGGTCTGTGCATGCATGCATGCGTGTGTGTGTGAGAGAGAGAGAGAGCGAGAAAGAGAGGTTGTTTTGGTGGGCTGTGTTTTGCCTGTGAAAGTGTGTGTTTATGGGGGGGGGGTGCATTTTGCCTCATTTAGAAATGTGTGGTACATGTGCTTCTTTCAGCACTATTTGCTTTCTGTGAACTAGATAGGTGATTCAATATATGGGGCTTAGTCCCCATGTGAAACATTTCTTGGTGAAGTTACTAGTCTTTGAGTTACAGTCTTCCTTTTGTGGAAAAAAATTGGTGGGCTCAAAATATCAATTTCTGTTTCAGCGCTCAGTGCCCCCCTCTGCTTTTTACTTGTTTGGGCAAGCAACTTTTCTTTCCGTCTCACCAGTCTGCCTTCCTGGTGTGGCCATCTCAAGAGTGCCCATGATACCTTCTTCAAACTTTAAATGAGTCCACCAAGTTAAAAAGACGGGATTCCTCAAATAGTGAATCTGGTTGGCTGCAACTCTGAGCAGAAGCATTCTACTTGCAGCTGTTTGTTGCAAGTCCCACTCATTTAACCCACTGCATCATTGCTCAATAGCAGGCAATAGCCGTGAGCACTAGTGCAGCCATCAGGGCACTTAAAAATAGGTGAGGGCAAGAAAGAAGCAGATCAAAAAGTGCAAAGTGGCACAATGACGGGAAAGCCTTTGATGGGGAGTAAAAGGAGAGATACAGACTTGCTTCTTGTCCCTAGATGTGTCTTCCTCACCCTGATGTTTCAGACTACAACCACCAGTATTCCTGACCATTTGCCATTTTAACTGGGGATGATGGGAGCCAACATCAAAAACATCTGGAGGAAATCAGGTGGTGCAAATGCTGACTAGCTGCATTTCCCATTAGATCTATTCATTCTACTGACTTGTATGGAGGAAAGGAAGGCATCTGTAATCACAGAGAAACCATTGAAAAAGAGATCCTATTTCTGGCCTTTATAAATGTTCCTCAGCACAAGTTCAGTTTAAGACTTATTCACCTACAGGAGTAACTTCTCATAGGATGATGATGATGATGACTGAAAAAACTGAACATGGTGTTGTGAGAACTTCAAGCTTCTGATCAATGGTGCATAACTGATCCTTTATGCTCAATTTATTTAAATGGGTCTACTCTAAATATTACTAAATCTGGATGCCTGTATAACTGAAGATGCAGGGAAGGATGACTGCATGCCCAAACTTCCTACAGGATGTCTAAAGTGGGGGATGGCACTTCTCTCTCAGAATGAGTGTGGAACAACACACGTGTGCACACACACCTGATGTGCTGCTTTTCCGTTTGGATGTTAGGTGGACTGGGTTCACACAACCCAACAGGCTACTTTGGGTGACAAGCTAAGGCAGGTTGCCATGCCATGCAAACCCAGCCCTTTTCCTACATGGTGGCTTGTAGGAGGGCAACAAGCCACCCTGACAACCCATAGCTTGTTCCAGGCTCCCAGTCATGGTGGGGAAGAGATGACATGTTAGTCTTGCCCTAGAATACCCAGAGGAAGGCTGAGGGGGAAGAAGAAGGAGCAGGGAATGACCCACGGTGAGCTCAACTATCCGTTGGGCTCTCTGTGGGTTGTTCGCAGAACAACCAAGCCACCATCCCTTATTCCCAGGGTGGGCTGGCATGATGTTTAAATGTGCCCAATGTTGAACAGAAGCACTTGTGCTCTTGTTCTATTACACAGTGACCCTTGCTCCCATAACGGAGAATTGACATAGCAGTAGAGTAGGTGTACAGCGAGAGGATAATGTAAAAAACAGAGAAAAGTCAAGGTCAAACACTGCAAGGGAGAGACATGTGTCAACTACCTAAGCAAACAGTTGTACTGGCATGTTTCATATCCTTGTTTCAGCATCTGGTCATTTAATTTAAACGATTACGAAAGCTGCTATATAGCAAACAACAGTGGAAGAACTAGGAGTTGAACTAAGTGAGCACATACAGAATACAGTTCAACTTGTATTAGAGCCTACTCAAATTGGCCAGAAGAGTTTGCCAGCAATTAGGCATTCTGTGAAACAGACATGCTATTTTGGCTTCTCGGATGGTTTGCTTTTGTTTATAGATCCCACATTTTCATCAGCTAATGGTAGTGAGCTGTTTTGTAATATGAGTGGCCAGCACTATTTTTGCTTGATTCTCAGTTCTTTTCAAACTGCAAACTTCTGAATTTTTCTATTAACAGGAAGATTCTGTACCAGAGGGCACTTGATTTCCATCATGGTTTATTGTCTGAACACAAACATTCTCAAATAGCTCTGGTGAGAAGCCACAGAAAGGAAGGTGGATATTAGCATTTCTGCCAGGCAGAGAGATGTCTCAGCCTTAATCTTTCTTCCTACAGGGAGGACAGTGGTCTGCCTTGCAAGGTTGTTGTCAGCAGAGCTAAGCTAAACCAAAGGTGCTTGGGTGTAACTTTCATTAGGAACCCCTGCCCCCCCCCCCCACATGACACTCCATTATGTGTTTTGGAGTATTTCTAAAGATCAGCAATATTCCTGGACTAAACCAGTTCTGACAAAATTTAAAAATAAAACCCCGCCTTTGTGGGGGGTTTGCACACTTTCCATGAACATTGCTTGGTGTCCAAGCTTTGCATGAAAAATAGAAAATGCTAAGATTTCAAATGCCATGGCAAGCCTGCTTAAACACCCAAGAAATGCCCATTTTTGCATGAAATCTAAAGCCAGTCAAGATCTTAACAAGCACCATTGTTTATCACTTTGCACAATTCAAGTGCCACAGAGCCAATGCAGGATGAAGAACATTTAACTTAGCTCACAGGTCTGGGCTGAGATCTGCATTTGTTAATTTCATCTGAGTTAATGAAACAAGCATAATCCACATGACAGTAGCCTTAAGAAATCTCCCCTGAGCCCTGACTTGCCTTCTCTAACTGCAAGCCTTCCCCAGGTCTCTGTGCTGCACTTGGAAACCCAGAAACAACAGATGTTAGGGAATGAACCTGGAGCTAAGTACATGATCTGCCCCTCCTTTGATAGACTATCCATTTGTCACCCATGTATGCATAATCATTAAAGTACCATTCACACACAAGGAAGCAGGAATCACCTAATTGACTGGCTTCTACTCTGATAAGTCTACAAATAAAATCTAAGCAGGGATTATAATTATTCCTGCTGGCAGCAACACCACTAAAAACAAATCTTGTTTTGGCACCCCAAATGGGCAGAAGGTCATTAGAATCTGAAGCGGCACTAAATTCACTATTCTAAGTGGGGGAAAAAGGCAGGAGTCTATTTCCCTCGCCATTGGTGATGTCAAAACAAACCTACACGCATGTGGAGCATTAGAACATTCTACTATTTTAATTATGTCTTGATCTCTGTTTCTACCAAGCATGTATTTGAAAGGTTCTCTAGTCAGCATGTTTAGCAGGACACAGTTCCCTAGACACACACCTGCTCTCCTCCTTCTGTGTTTCTTCACTCCAGAAAAACAAACTGCTTGATCTTAGACATACTTGACTTGGAAGATGCCTGCAGACTTCAGGAGAATGTCCAGTTTACATTCTCAGAATCGCAACCCAAGAGTCCTTGCATTATTTAGAACACATAACAAAGAGACTTTTGGACAAAGGATGGTCATGGACCACAAACTACTATGGTTTGTGTTAACAGTTGAAACTACTGTTAATGACAAAATTAAAGCAATTTTATGTATTTTTATCAGACCAATTTCTCCTGGAGTAGGTGCATACAAAACAATGACATTGCCTGGAGAGATGGCAAAGAACAGTCAGACCTGGCTGACTTGAAAGCTAATGCTCTCCTCCACAAAAGGAGGTGGCTAAAAGTGTATTGCTTTGCCTGTATAAAGTCACTCATGCCCTCAAACCAATGTGGTAAGCCATAATATCAACAGCATTTTTTTCTTTAAAATGTACACTACATGATGTCCATACATGGTAAGGCAAGGGTTAGGTTGTCCAAGTCATCAATAACAAAAAAGACCACCATTTCCAAGCTGAGATCCTGGAAAAGCTGTTAATCCAACCAAAAAATAAAGTGCTTTTTACCGTATTAAGATGAGCCTGTCCTTCTCTGATGGATGGTCATCAAGCCACCGGGAATAACGGGCAACAGTCCATTCTGCTCTCTTTCATGCACAATAAATAAAAATAATGGCTTTTTGAGTGATGTATATATTCAAAATACACCCCTGACATTTTCACATATTGACCAGAAGTTAATTCCAACAACTGATTGCAATAGGGGGCTGGCATATATTTTAAGAAAAATAGTGATATGCCTAAAAATCTTCAGAGAATGTCAGACAACATGTTACTGGTTCACAGTAAGGTGCTGAACATTATGTGGCTTTAAGCCCAGTTGTTTCCCCACAGTTGCTTGCTTGTCTCCGGGTAACTGTGAGGGAGCCACATGAAAGAGCAGCTCAGAATGAATTCAGTGGTAGCTGAATGGGTCTCAGCTAGATTTTACTTACAGCTGGATTCAACCCTCTTTGATTCTACTCCCTGTTTGTTGCTTTCCACCCTATGAAAGCATCTGTAAAGGCTACTGTTCATTCCAGGAGCTTTCCAGATGAAGCTTTAATTATACTATTGCCCTACCTTCAACTTGGAGGCCTAGTCTTTGGTGTCTTCCTTTCGTAACCCTCCCGTCTTTTCCCACTGCCTCTTCCATCTTTGATCTTACCAGGAAAAACACATTCACTATCAGAAGACATAACCACACAGTGCCTTTTGCTTGTTAGGAACCGTCTTCCTGAAAGTATGCTAGATTGCCATAATCTTTGGGGAGCTATACATTTTCCACTGTTTCCAGTGTGATTCTTTTTGCTATTGCATTCTGACCGATGATTATTAATCTGGAAATGAACAATGGGGAAATGCATCCACTTGGCTCTTAGAATAGAACAAAAGGTAACAGGCTGTTCTTGTCACAACTGCTGCTTAGGAGCATCACTTCCAATATACTGCCAGATGATGACGACATTGCACTTACACCCTGCCTTTCTTCCACTTGCAAGGAATGCAAGGTGGCTTACAAGGTTCTCCTTCTCTCCATTTTATTGCTACAACTACCCTGTGAGGTAGGTCAGAATCCATGATTAGCCCAAAGTCACCCAGTGAGCTTCATGGCTGAGTGGGGACTAGAACCAGATCTCCTGCTACAACCACTATACCACACTGGCCCTCAGAATAAATGTAAGAATAAGAATTAACGTATCTCAGAATATGAATGTAAAATCCTTGTGAACTTCTTCTGCCTTGAACTTAGCAAATCAAAACCAACAGGCTGCAGCAGGAATGTAGGTACAAACAGTTGGTGATGGCTATGAATGAGAAACGGATCTTCCCTGCTGACATAATAGTTAGAAGAAAATGTTGTACAAACTCATTACCTGAAATGGGGATTTTAATTCTGGTGGTGCCCTTGTAAATAAGAACTGGATAACAGTACTGAATGGAATTATCTCCCCCACGGCTGGGCTGCTGGCAATATGTTCACTCGTCTGGAACAACATTGGTCTGAGGGGAGAAGCAAGTGCAAATGATAGAGGCAAAAGGACAAATATATAATGCTTTTGTATCATTTTGTAACATAAGGCCTACCATGGGACACCACTGGTCTTTATGACAGCTTCTGGGTGAAACACTGAACCTGTCTGCATGATCACCACAGCCCACTGCCGCATTTTTGAAGTATTCCAGTACATGCAGGTGGCCATTTTGAATATTCAACCTGCAACCGGGGGGTTGCCATGCTTTGCCATAGGCAGGGGTTGTTTGAGGGTTAAACAATCCCCACATGACCCTGCAGCAAGCCATGGTGATCCCACAACAGTATCCCTATATCTAGCACTCCATTTTTTCCCACAGGAATAAATGACAGCCATTTATCAGAATGGTCGTTTACATATCACAAAAAAGGCAGATTTGCAAGCTCAGAAATGGTCACTATATTTAAACAGAAATAGCATACATCTGATCTATCCAGTCTGCTCTGCTGATGGGTAATACCAAAGCTCTACTCTCTTTTATTAGGGTTCTTTGTCTTTAAACCCAGCTCAGACTAGATTGTCCTTCAAATACGGAACACTGTCAACCATTATAATCTCTTCAAACTTCTTTACAGAGGACTGTCTTCTATCAAATAAGTCACATGACCACACAGACCTTCATTGACACAAGGAAATTAAAGGCATAAATAACACTGGAATGGGAATTAACGCTTCTCTGGCCATTTGGCCTGAAGCCAAGAATGGACCTCTATTTTATTTACACTCTGTTGATAGCAAAAAAGCATCTGAAAAACAAAGCCAGTTCCTTCCCATGCAGTTGTTTCCTGGTCTGCTTCCTAATCTTCATGCTCTCCCATTACCAAATTTGGTAGCTGATCACTTGTAGTAACAGCTTATTATTTTAATTAAACAATCCCCCAACACTGCATCTTAAATTCTGTTTTTTTGTGGGGGGGACAAGTGTGACTACACAGCTCATTATTGTAAGAACTGAGATAAAAAACAAAAGCAAAAAAGGTACAATTTAGCTGACATTTGCATGACAAAATTCTCCGAGTCATAGTCACACTGAATAAAATGTTAAAAGAAAAACACACTAATTTGTTAGCAAGTTTCATGTGATGCCGCCAGAAGGTTTTAATTAAAATCCATAGAAATGAGAAGTCGGCAACTCCATTTAATGAAAAAAATTAAATCTTGTTTCCAGCTGTTAGAAATATTCTTAAAACAGCACTTACCTGAATGACCTTAAGAGTCTGTAAGATTTTCCCAAATCAGACACCCGCCTGCAGAGAGGTGCCACAGCTAACTCCATCTGTAGAAGAAAATGCATTATGCTTCAGTCTGCATTTAGCGTCCTGTGAAAGACTAGGACCCCAGGAACTGGGAAGGGCAGATCTGCAGGTGCTGAGCATCTCACAACAGGGCCAGATTGAGACTGCAACAGCAGAACTAGATACTAGACTGTGTGCCGACTGGTCCGGCGAGGAGTTGCATATCATCCTCCTCTTGGCATCATTCAAGGAGCGCCAAATGGCCATCGGGCTATTATTCTCATTAGCCCTGTGCTGGTAGAGTGGGTGAAGGGCAAGGAGTGGGTGTATTCAGCTCTTTGGCAGCCTCTTTCTCTATATAACTGTTTCAGAACAGGGCAGAGTGTCATCATCCTTCTATAATGATAAACTGGAACCAGCATTAATCCTTCCTTGGCTGGGAAGGAAATGCTTTCCAGTACCAAGCTAGGGAGACATGATGAGTTCCAATATCCCATCAAATTCTACTATTCTGTAATTTATGCTAGTGGCTTCAGAAGGTGGCAAGGTAAGGATGGTTTGCAGGGTTCCAAGGTCAACAGAGGGTTCCCATGGATGGTGGAGACATACGTGCTAAAATCCTGAAGCCAGTTCTGATTCATGTCAGATTTATCTATTTCTCTGAGTACTATGATAAACAACATACAGCAGATGGCAGTGATATTTCATCTCTAGGGATAAAGCTTTTGAGTATCACAGAACAATGCCTGGCTGAGGGCTGCTGAAGCCTAGCATGTACCTTTATCTAAACATCAAGACCTTGTATCAGAAAAGGAAAAAAGGTCCAGGCAGACCCCGGTGCTGTTCCAAAGGCAGATGACTTTCTTAGACTGTGACTGCTAGTGTGGCCAATGGAACAGAAAGGGTAGAAAGTGGGAAAATACATGAGTAGGAGACTGCCTTAAAATGCTTTAAATACAAGGCACCAGAAGGGCAGAGCCAGCTGCCCAACTAGGATAAGGGGCATATAATCTCCTGGGAAGGACCACGCAACAGCCAGCCCTTTCCTTTGGATGTCAGGCCTTTGCACCTTTCAGCAATACTGTGGAATGCAGCCATGGGAAAGAGAAAGCCATGCCTCTCATACGAACAACACCACACCCAAGTATTTGAATCACCAATGATGAATATTACTGTGACATGTCAGAAGCAAGTCTCACTGAACTAAATGGGGGATTCCCGGGTACATGGCTCATGGCCTAAAGCAGTTTTTACTGCCAGAATGAACATCTACCAAGAAACAAATTTGTTCACAAGACAAGGCAGAGCACAGGTAACAGCTTCATCATGCACAAACCATCAGCATCCCCTGCCAATATGCACCAGAGTTCTCTCACTCGCCCTTAGAAGACCAGTTTGCCATTAGGTCATTCGCTTTACATAACTAAAAGGGCTATATAGTTTATCTCACCCTTCTGGGCCAACCATTTGTATTTTAGTGAAGAAAGACCGAATGCATTCTCTATGTTTTATTCCAGCTAACAGCAACTTAACTGGAGAAGGTTCAGAGGAGGGCAAGAATGATGATCCAGGGTCTGGAAACAAGGCCCTATGAAGAAAGATTGAAAGAACTGGGCATGATCAGCCTTGAGGGGAGATATTATAGCACTCTCCAGGAACCTGAAAGACTGTCAAAAAGAGGAAGGACAGGAAATCTTGATTATCCCAGAGTGCAGTATATGGAATAATGGGCTCAAGTTATGGAAAGCCAGGTTCTAGCTGAAAAATGTGGAAGAACTTCTTAACTGTTAGAGCAGTACAAGAATGGAACCAATGACCTAGGGAGGTTGTGGTCCTTCACGCTCAAGGCATTCAAGATGCAACTGGACAGCCATTTGAAAGGGATGGTTTAACTGGGAGTTCTGCACTGAGCAGGGGGTTGGACTTGCTGGCCTTTGGCTCCTTCCAACTCTAATATTCTATGATTCTGTGATTATTTTTGCTAATTAAAGTGAGTCTAACTTTTGTTCCCCCTCCAGTTCATGACTCCTGAGTATAAAGCCTATTTGCTTTAGATACAAAGAAATCTTTGTTTGTCCTTCACCATTTCTGATTCCAACATGTTCATGTTTCAGTCTCTTAATCATACAGAGCTGCATAGCGTTTAAAGACCAGACTCTGACTTCCAACCTAAACTTCTCCAAATTACTGTAACCTGAGTGCACTTGGCTTTGTTATACGGCAACAAAGCTCTTCGTAATGAGGTAGTCAGAAGGTACTACAATTCCCAGATGATGCCTCAAGGTATGTATAAATGTCAAGAAAATATAATTTAATAGGACCTCCCTGACCCCAGCAAATTCCATTCAGCTCAGCTGAAAATTGAACCATGTCTTAAGCACAAGCGATTATTTCCACCTTCCAACCCATTTTCAAGTCCACATTTCTGCAGGGGTCAATGTTTGGACTGTTGATATAAATAAAGTCCATTTTCTTAGTCATCAGGATGCCTTAGACTATGTCACTACCAAATGCAACCCTTCTACACAACCTGGAAGCACTTTTCCATTTCTGAATACACATCCTATCCACCACCTCTAGGATGAGACTGAAATGCTTTGCTTGCGTAGTTTTCCAATAATCAGTGTGTCTTCCACATTGAAAAAAAAATTAATGGAGGTCATCCAAGGGACAATGTGTTTTTTTAAGGAATAAGCACTATTGTAGCCCATGTTTTTCCTTCATGGAACTCAGGAGAACATTTATTATTTATTGGTTAATGCCTATATACCACTTAATATAATAAACTATCTGCACAGGGTTCCCAGGTGGCCTCTCACCCAGATACTGACCAGACTCAGACCTACTGAATTCAGTAAGATGGCCTGATCATGCAGCATCTTATGCTTCAACACTGTGTGTACTTTTTTTACAGCAGAAAAAGAGCTCATCTCTTCCCTCTGGTCGCAATTTGGATTGGCGGCATGGCAGTTGGGGGTATGAGACAGTTGGGGTGTGTGGATCATACGGACCTCAACTTTCAGCTGTCGCGGCGGCCTAGAAATATTGTAATGTTTGGCTGAACATGTTGTGTCCCACATTTTGAGGGAACGAGGCAAAATGACCAGTTTTCAGATTATTCTTATAATTGGGGTATCTTTGATTAGCTATGTCCCAAATGTCAAGGCCTAGCTAAAAAGGAGAGTCAGCTTGAATGAAAATGTCAAGGTGCTGTTAATGGCTTAAAGACCAAGGGTGGGGCATAAATATGACTGTCTCTGCAAATACTTAAATACTAGTTCTCTTTAATTAGTAGTGCTCTGCTGCAGGCAAAAGAGGAGTATAGAGAAATGGTAGACTAAAATGAAGTAAAACAAAAGAGCATTTAAAAACATAGCAGGTGAGGTGTGAGAGAGGATAAATTCAAAACTAGCCAGCTGCAAGTACTTCATTTTGAGAGAAAAGCCAATGAACCTAAGAACAAAGATGTGTTTGGAAAGGTAATGAAAGGATGAATGTTATCATTGAACACCTTCCCTCTTTCGCCTTCAGAACACCTTCCCTCTTTCGATCTTCCCGACACAAAGTGATCTTCCTGACACAGGTGGCTAAGACCCTGCCGCAGCATAGGATGTGTGTAACTGGCAGAGAGCAGTCTACATCATGATCAGCTGCAGTGAATACAAACCCCATTTCATATGTTTCTAAAGAATCCTGCCTGCCACCCATGACTTTCAATCTCAGCTGTACCCGCCAAAGGCCTTCGGAAGCTTATCACAACAGTAAAGAAGAATGCAAAGAGACAGAACTTTTTCAACAGAGATAGCCAAAGTCTCAAGGTGTCTGATATCAAATGTCAATCTTGGCATTCAATACTCTAGCCAAATGTGCACCCAATCCCAATTTATGACAGCCATAATTTCTGGTTCTGCTTTTTACAGATGCAGAATACAGGTGTTGTTAGGTGAGCAAGAGAATACAGGGCACGGAGGCAGCCACGGAGCTCTACGTGTTGGTGCACCCTGTTTCTAATGTTATGAGTCCTTGATGCGAGTGAAGGAAGAGAGTGCAAAAGTTGGCTTGAAACTCAACATTAAGAAAACTAAGATCATGGCATCTGGTCCTCTCACTTCCTGGCAAACAGATAGGGAAGAAATGGAGGTAGTGACAGATTTTATTTTCCTGGGCTCCAAGATCATCGCAGACGGGGACTGCAGCCAAGAAATTAAAAGACGCTTGCTCCTGGGAAGGAAAGCTATGGCAAATCTAGATAGCATACTAAAAAGCAGAGACATCACTCTGCCAACAAAAGTGCGTACAGTCAAGCCTATGGTTTTCCCAGTTGCAATGTATGGCTGTGAAAGCTGGACCATAAGGAAGGCTGAATGCCGAAGGATTGAGGCCTTTGAATTGTGGTGCTGGAGGAGACTCCTGCGAGTCCCCTGGAACACAAGGCGATCAAACCGGTCAGTCCTAGAGGAGATCAACCCTGACTGCTCTTTAGAAGGCCAGATCCTGAAGATGAAACTCAAATACTTTGGCCACCTAATGAGAAGGAAGGACTCCCTGGAGAAGAGCCTAATGCTGGGAACAATAGATGGCAAAAGAAGAAGGGGACGGCAGAGAATGAGGTGGCTAGATGGAGTCACTGAAGCAGTTGGTGTGAGCTTAAGTGGACTCTGGGGGATGGTGGAGGACAGGAGGGCCTGGAGGAATGTTGTCCATGGGGTCGCGATGGGTCAGACACGACTTCGCGACTTAAAACAACAACAACAGCACATGTGAGAGAATCGAAATAGGACCGGTCCCCTGCACCTACCTGTGCAAAGTCAGCAGCCAGCCGCATTTTCCCGCCTTCACCCAGAGGCCTTAGCAGGCTAGCATTGCGAATAAAAATTTCAATAGCTCTCTGAGCAATGGCTTCGGTACTTGCATAGACAAAGTCGTAGCACTCAAAGTGCCTGAAGTAGTCATTCATGACTCTCGCTATGAAACCTTGTAGCTCTTTCATGTACAAAGAACAAGGGATATCAGGCTTCCCTGAAGTGGGTAGTGATCTACCAGAACAAACAAAAAAGGGAAAGAATGTTAATTTGCTATTTATAGCAAGACAACAGTGCTTGTTGCTTTGTTGTTTCATGCTTATCCTGGAAAAGACAACAGCAATGGCAGAAAGAATAACAGCATCTCTTTTTAGCCTAGAAAAATAAGAGATGCTTCAGGCAGCAGCATTTCAAACATTTCCCCCTCGGTTACCGCAGTTCCCACATAACAGAATGCTTACCCAGCTACTGACTTGTTCTCACTGGCCAAACACCTGCTGCTTTAAATCCTTCACCTAAGCGCCCCAACCATTGCCCTAATTCTTTAAGAATGGCCCCTATCATGCCAGGCTACCTGCTGTGGCCTCCACATCTCCTTGTCTGATCATCCTTAAGCTGCCTAAGCCATTACCAGAAGGTTGTGGGGTCCAGTGTGGAGTTCTCCCATTAATCTGAGCAAGGCTATATTTGTCCTCTTCCACAGCATCAGGGAAGATCCATGTTTTCCCCAAAACTCCATATAAATGATAAGGAAACTAGTGTAGCGAGAGCCATGCAGGGTCAGACCAAAGGCCTGGTTAGGCTAGCATTCTGATCCCACAGAAGCCAAGCAGATTCCTCTGGGACACTCACAAGCAGGGCATGAGTGCAACAGCACCTTCCCACCTGTGTTCGACTCATACTATATTGCCAGGTCGACTCATATTATATTGTTTTATACTGTTCTTATTTATTATTGTGAGCTGCCCTGAGGCTTCGGTGAATGGGGCGGCATAGAAGCCTTCTAAATAAATAAATAAAATAAATAAATATTCTTCAGCAGCTGACATTCAGGTGCATGTGCAGGTGGAATTCTTGTTCAACACCTTCTCTGTGGCTTACATCTGGCATTCTCGCTCATCTGAGAATCATCCCAGGATAGGAAGAATGCCGTCTAGGCTTGAAAGACCAGTGAAAGTCACACTGGATTGTTTCCAGACAGAGCTTATTGAGCATATGTTTCTCTATTAATTTTCTGTTGAAATAAATCAGCACAAAGAAAACAATCAAAATCTAACTGTCAAAAATGAAATTTGTGTCCAATAGTTTTCACTGCCTACTGTAATGTTAAACAGATGTAATTTTTAAATGGACAGTATCCGAACCTTTCTCATGAAAATATTACAAACTAAATAACCAATACAATCCCCTTTTCAGCATTTTGGCATCCTCTTCCCATGTTTTATTAAAAAGATCCTGTCTGTTTTTGCTGTTCTGGCAGACAGGTAATTAGAATAGCATGCACTCTGGCAGCTCGACTGGAGTACAGCTTGGTTGCTAAGAAGGTGCGTGTGTTGCAAGGTCACTGGGGTAATGTTATCTCTGCTTTTTACAGGGTACACCTATCATATACATGTCTAAGAGAAAACTGAAGGGGTGACTCCATTACCCGGAAAAGTCTTCCTGATGCATAGTGATGATAATAGCCTCGACTGAGTCGCTAACTGAGTTCAGCAAAGGTTGCACAGCATTTCCCATCAAATCATGGACTGTCTAGAAGAAGCATAATCAAGGATGAAAAACAGTGAGGAATAAAGAAACAAATGAGACAACAATATGTTTCTACTCCATGGGTTTCAAGATACAATAAAACTGTAGAAAGTTGGACTAAATCTGAACAGTGCTGTCTTCTATTATGATATTATACACAGAAATAGATGCACATCCAAGTATTGTGCTACCTAGCTGGAAATCTTTCCATTCCCCTTATGTGGAGCAGTAGGTTGAAGATAGGCCAACGAAGAATGAGTCATTTATAATACAAGAAAGCGTTCAGAGAAGTTTAACATGAAGTGACAGTCATTTCCAGAGCTTTATGGAAGCTGAAGTATGGATTCTGGGTCATCATCCAACAACAGATTTACCCAATCTTACCTTAAATTTGGGGGGAGAAAAGAAAACTGATATACTGAAAGAGAATAGCATAGGCATTTCATACATAAATAAATAAGTGGCATTTTAAATGGGTAATGCATTGTCTTTTCCCTTTCTGGGTATGTTGCATGTTTCTATGCATTTGATACACCATTAAAAAAAAAATAAAACTCATTCAATCTCTGTAACAGGAAAAATTAAGAAACATACTAGCTTCCTGACAACAACTGATATTAAGTACTTTTGAACCCTATCCTTAATTCTCTTCTACTGAAATATACAGGATTGCAAAGTGCTTAGTTCTGGTTAGATCATGTTCTACCTACACAGAGAGTAAGTGTTTGGAGGCATTGCCTAACATTATTTTAGACATAACGATTCTTAGATATAATGCACAACAATTCTGCTCACAGAAAGGTAACTCTTGGCACTTGCTAATGGAAGTGAGGTGAGGGGAGACAATTTACCAATATCCCTTCCTTCCTACCTCAAAAATCTGCTTCAGAACTTTGGGGGACTCTCTGAAACAGAGTAGGAGGCTGCACATGATCTGCTGAAAATTGACATCTTCCCATTAGTGGAGACATAAGCTAGAATGAAGACCTATCACTTCATGGATGGAGCTCTTCTACAAAAGGACTTTTGGATTTAATCCAACATAATTATTAAGCCTGTACTATTCCACTAATCTAATATACATATTTCCAGATGTAGCTATTTTAAAATTATGCCTATAACATCCTTCAAAATATTAGTCTTTGGCTTTGTTTGTCCTAGAAATTGTTGTGCATTATATCTAAGAGCAGACCAATATATTCCATTATTATATATTCAGATATATAATATACAGTAGAGGATCAAAGTGTTCATGAATGATGAGACTGGCTAGGACAAGGCCCAAGTACCTTAGTACTCTGGAATGTCTTCAAAAAAAACAAGAGACTGACAGAATTGCATCATTTTCCTTCCATCTCCAATGAAAAATAGAAGACTGGACAGACCACTGAAGAATGGGAATGGAGACTTAAACATAAACAAGGAATAAAGAAAGAATAAAAGCATAGGTAAACCAGGAGAGAGAAGTCAGTGTTTCTGTGGAGGTAGGAAGAAGCAAAGCAAAGCAAAGCGAACTGCCTGTAAACTGAGGATCACACACGTACTTGGCTTAGGTTCCCTGATCTGCTCCCATCCAGATATATTAGAGTCCAACTCCCATCATCTCCAGACAGCAGTGGTTATGTTGGGTGCGGATGATGGTTGCAGACAAACAAATTTGGAGGGTTAATGTGCTGGGAAAAGTTGCGCTAACCTTACCAAACATAGGCTGCAAATCATTTCAGGAAAAAAAGGTGAACAAAACGGCTTTTCTTAACTCAGTTCCAAAGAATTTAAAACAAAATGCTAACAGACATATTGTAAGTTCCTGCTTGTCGATTATTATTAAGTGTGGGGAAACCAGAAGGCTTCAAGTCTATCTCTGCGACTTTCACTCACCTTCAAGGTTGTGCTAATAGTTTCTTCTGAAGCCGCTGGAAAAGCAGTAAGGCTGGACACAACCTAAAAAGATGAGCAGAACAAAACTTTACCATTCATTAATGCCTCAGGAATCCAACTCGTATTTTTATGACAACAGTGGGCCTCTCCCCACATGGCTTCTGGGTACCAGCAAATGTTTGTCTCACCTCCTCACCCCAAATCAGCCTTCTTTAATCTGGAGGCCTCTGAATGTTACATAGCTATTTGACTTGCTGGGAGAATGGCAGTTGCAATCCAACATATCAAACATACACCAGGTTGAAGAAGGCAGATCTTACCCTGATTCTGGACTAGGTAAAGTGCATGAGTCCTTTTGGCATATTATATTACACCCAACTGCCTTGGCTAATCCCACAGGCAAGGGCCTTGCATCTTAGTAGAAACCTAGAATCATTAGGATCTCTGCCTGTAATGCAAATCACACAACATTTCCTGAAAATATTAACCCTAAGTCTAATTTCATGATAAAAACGCTGCTGTGCAGCTATGCATAAATAGGACAAAATGTGGTCAGTTCCTCTGATCCTCATGGACCTGCATGATTTTTAAGTGCACTACCTAAACACCCAGCTTTTAAATGTATCTCACCCCTGCTTCTGGCAGCATGTTTGTTGTCACACACAAAAAATCTATCTGTTCCTCTATAACTTCTTCTAACATTCTCAGTATTTGCATTCAAGCAGTGTTCACAATTTTTTTCTTTTTTGCAATTCAGTTTAAGATTTGTTTTTATTCAAAAATAATTCAGTGAAGCATTCTGAAATGCATAATTTCAAACTTGTGAGGCAAACCACTCATTTATATTTTACAATATTTGCATCTGAATACAATCCAATATATAGCATTCCTAATGATAAAATTAATGAGAGAAATACCAGCTTTTTCTTGGTTTCTCATGCTTTTAGGATATGACCTCTAGCCTAAAAACTATGGCTAGCATCCAAAGAGAAATCCAACTAGTTCTTGGCTTTGGGCTCTTGCTTCTCAAAAACCTGCTGCTATGCCACAGGGCAGGGCATTTCAAAATGGGTGTAACTTACCTTCCAGTGTAATTGGTGAATTGGCATGTGGGTTAACTGTTTAAAGGAGTCGGGATCAGAAATCCCATGCAGCATGCCTAAGTTCTGTGGCAAAGCTCCAGTAGATCTTTGAATCCTAGCTCAACTGAAACCTTAAATGGCCTTTCCTATAGCAACTACACAGCAATCTGTAATCTAAACAAATGCATCAAGAATAATGCAATCTGTCCAGTTCTATCACAGTCTTGTGAATTAGCAGAGAACATGAAAGAAAGAAGCAGTTCAGAAACAAAGAGAAGCAGCAGAAAAGGCAAACATAACTGGTTCTATTAAGTGATTGTATTTAGCCAGTCAGGGCCAGCATCAAGAATAGGCATGGCTGGACACCTGCCAAGGACCCACATCCTAGCAGGTGTCCACCGGCAAGGAATCCTTTGTCCCTTCCCGCTCGGTTATCTGCCTCTCACTCTGAACAATGGCGGGGGTGGTAATGATGAGCAATAGCCACCAATGTTGACTTGCTCTCTGCCCATCAAGCAACCCAGTAGTAGCCTTGATGGGAAAAACGGAGGAGCAATAGCATCAAGTGACAGTGATGGTACGGCAGATTCACCCAGGGTGGAGGCCCCTGAAAATGTCTTATCGAAGGCCCTCAAAACCTGAAGCTGGCATTGCAGCCCATCTGCCAGAAATAGACAGGAAAACTGGACTCCATCCCAACATTAACAGGAACCCATTGAGAAGTGTTTAGGCATCCTCCTCAGTTCAGAATTTATGGGGAAGAATTACAGCGGAACTTAACAAGTACTTAAGCATTTATTTATTTATTTATTTATTTATTAAAACATTTCTATGCCGCCCCATTCGCCGAAGCCTCGGGGCGGCTCACAACATAAAATTAAAATACAAGAAATAACAATATAAAATAAGTTGCCCTGGCCAGATAAAATAAGCAAATAATATTAACAATTAAAATGATGCTTAAATAAAAAGGTCTTCGCCTGGCGCCGAAAAACAAATAATGACGGCGCCAGGCAGACCTCTCTGGGGAGCGCATTCCATAGACTGGGCGCCGCCGCAGAGAAAGCCCTCCTCCGAGTACCTACCCTCCTAATTTCTTTCACAGAGGGTTCCCGGAGAAGGGCCTCTCCCGCAGATCTCAAGGGGCAGGCGGGCATATATGGATGTATATATGGGTGTAAGCGCATCCTTAACACTTACTTTTAGCACTGACTGGTGTAATCTGTACAGTGAATTTACTACAGCCACGTTTCTTCTTTGTCCTTCAGTTAATGGCCCAATCACCTGGCTAGCCTCTCCCTGTGTAGACAGCTGCAGTAAACAGACAAGCAATGCAGATTATTTCTTTTTCAGCTTATGGATCCAAATGCATAAATTTCTGTTCTCTAAATGAAATGAAAGGGAAAATTAGGTTACATTTCATACAACTTTAATTCCCAGCTAAAGTATTCTGGAATTATTATTTTGGTATTGTTCTATGGAAGATGGCATCTTGCAGTTTAAGCTGTACTCTTGCCTCATAGTCTCTGAACATGGGATGAATCCCAAGTTAATGCAGTTAGTATCTCCCTTTGCTGAGACAAGTTGTGAGTTATGAAAATGTTGAAAAGGTGGAGGAAAGAGAGTTAGCTTTCAGTTCCATTCCTTCAACCAAAGGATCAAGAAGGACATTTTTGTCCCTGATGCTTCTGGTGCAACTACACCACTGGATTCTCAATGCACGCACTGATTTTCGGTGCTTTAGATTTGTGCTACTGCGTACTTCCTTTCTCTTACAGTTATTTTCCTCCATTCTTTTGCAAATATGTGAGCTGATAGGTAACTATTAAGTATACACTTACTATTTGGAATAGTAATTTTAAAAATTACAACTCCAATTATACATTTTTGAGGCACTGATTTTTTGAAGACATGAAACGAGTGACTGGTCTTCCAAAGTACTGTTTAGTCACCAGTGGAAGTAGTCCCTGGTGAGATCACAAAAAGTGAACGACTGTGGACTTTTTTGTTCTGCCTTTGCTGAGTGGCTTTGTGGCCCTTGATAAAAATCCACAAAAAATTGCCCAGCTGGGTATGGATGTCATAACAACCAAACATGGGCAAGAACAACCATAAAACAAGCCATGAGTTCTCAGGGTTAAAATAACAAAAAATAAGCCATCCTGCAGAAACTATGCCATGTTCAAACAACACAACAAGGAACCATGGAGAGTTGCCACACCTTGCGAACCTGTATCTTCAGGTGTACATGGCCTGCCTTAGAGAACTTACCCTGTCACCTGGAAGACATGAGTCTAGAAGTGTGAGTGCATTCAAACAATTCAACACTTGACTCTAGAATTCCTAACCCTGGGGAACAGATGTGCTCATCCTCCCAAACAAGGATCAAAAATTAAGACAACTCCTAAAGTAATCTTTTGTAAGAGCATTACTTAATATAGGCATTGCAAACTACCAGCTGGCATAGAATGTTACATTACAAAAATAAAATTCTGGTGGGGGGAAATGATTTCTCTCCCACAGTATCTCAAACACAGTCTCATTTTGAAAGGGATGTCAGCACCAACTGGCAGAAACTTGCTCCTTCAGGTGAGAATTACATTCTGACCGGTAAAGGATTCCCCATGACATTAAAGTCCAGTCATGTCTGACTGTAGGGTGGTGATCATCTCTGTTTCCTAGCTGAGGGAGCCAGTGTTTGTCCACAGACAGTCTTCATGGTCATGTGGCTGGCATGACTAAACACCGAGGTGGTACCTTTTTATCTACTTGCATTTATATACTTTCGAACTGCAAGGTTGACAGGAGCTGGGACAAAGCACGGGAGCTCAGCCCGTCTGCAGATTCAAACTGTTGATCTTTTGATCAACCAACCCAGCAGCTCAACAGTTTAAACCACTGCACCACCCGCAGTCCCACAGTCTGACAGACATGATCTTATTTAGACACATACAGATCCTCCCCCAGAAGTATTTCACCTTCAGTCATATTGATCCATTCTATTCCCCACATTGCTTCAGAAGAAAATGTATGTTAGAAGTGGGCAGAGCGTACTGATGCACACAGTGCAGTAAGATCCTGGAGCCTCAGGGCAGGGCAACTCACTCAGCCATAAATAGGGCTCCATGATTTCCAGACGCAGTATTCTTTCGGGGACCACTACCTGTTTTGGGCCATCTTGGATGTTCACTTGATTCACCAAATGCACCACACATTTAATAGCATTACACATCACAGGCAACGCATCAAAACAGAACTGTTCTTAGAGCAAAGCAGGCTGCTCTAATTTCTGCACTCTGAAATCCATTCAAATCTCTCCCAGTAGTCTTCCTCTAGTCAATATTCACCAGCAAGATAAGAATCTGAGAGGCAGAGGCAGAGTCAGATGAAGGTGCGTCTGTGATGTGTGTAGTACAGTTTCATTGGAAAGAGAATCAGCAAAGCCTTTTTTTGGTAGCACTCAAGCTGGTTTCAACAAAGAACTGTTCTCCTTTTACTTGACCCAGGCTTGCTTCACACATTTCAAATGCAAATCCTAATAGCTGCTCAGGCAGAGGAGGAGAAAACTATCTTTCAGTACATTAAGGAAAGAATGGAAATCCTACTACAGAAATAGCCAGCATTTATAACAAGTCCTGTCACACATGACCAGCAAGCCACTAAATACAACTCTTGGGTGCTGTGTACCCTTATGCAAATTGAAGGGCTTCTTTCTGGAAGGGAGACAGCGTTCACCAATTCTCTCCTCCTTCTGCACTCCACCCCACAATTCCAGATCTAAATGAAATATATAAATGAACAACAGAGGCCCTCCTTCGTGAATCCACCCCCCTCAAATGAAGTGAGGGGGGAATTAGCTAGGAAAATGGCCTTCTCTGTTGTTGTACCTCACCTTTGGAATTCCCTTCCGAAAGAGGGGCAACTGGTCTCGTATTATTTTGTTTTCGTCCCCAAGTAAATACCTTTTTATTTAGAGTTTGTTTTTAGAATTATGCTTTGACTTGTTTTTTCATTGCTGGTTTTATATTATTGCCCACCCTCCTGTTTGCACTTTATATTAGTATACTTTTATGTGGTTTTAGCTGTTACTGTTTTATTATTTCTTATGCTGCCGTTGTGCTATGTTTGCTATGTGAGCTGCTCAGAAAGCCCTCGGGCTACGGGATGTCATACAAATGCAGTAAGTAAATAAAATCCAACTGAACTTAAGTTGGGCTTAAATCCAAATTATTCCAGTGGCAGAGATAAATGCATACTTAACTCTTCAACTCTGACAGCAACAGAACTTTTGCTGAATCATGTCCAGCTGTATATGGGAAAAATATGTGAAAGCAAACTGGATGGAGCTATGATTCAAGGAAATACCAGCACCACTCGGGTGTTCCCTGATCGTGCCTGAAATCCCAAATCTAAGCTGAAACCTCAATTATCAAATGTTCTTTCCTCCCTTTCATGTGCTCAGCCCAAAGCAGAAGCAATCTATCAGCATTGCCAGCCTGGCATTGCCGCATGTCAGGAATGCTGCAGGGAAGATGCATTGCCTGCCAGGTCCCAGCATAGAATACTGGCCTTCTTCTCCAATCTTTGCATCACCATCACCATCACACTGGGCTCTGTGACAACCAACTGTCCAACGCTGAAAACATTGGCGCCATGGGATGCAACAGAATCCATTCTCTCGGGCCAAGTCCTGCTCTTAGGCAAAATGAAATGGCCAGTTCAGACAGCAATGCTTAGTACTCTAGGCATCTTAATCCTTCTTGCTGTCCACAGGTGTGGAAGATGCAGTTCCACTGCCAGTGTTGAAGATTCAGCTATTGCTGAGGTCAGCTTCGGTACATGGAAAGAGGAGGCATTTTTTTATCTGTCACCTCAGGCTGCAAAATATCTTGGGCAAGCCCTGTGTTGTCTTATGGGTCCGCCCACTAACTATCATTCTTGAAAAGCTATAATCAGAGTTAAATGAAGCACTGAGGTGAGGTGGCAAGAGGTATGTTAAACTGTTACTGATTAGATGTGAGGTTTAAACATTTTTCAAGAAAGCCATTAGCTGTAAATTCTAATGCTAACATCTGTATCAGAAAATGCAGAAACACTTGTCATAATATATATAGAAGGTAAGAATCATTCTGAATCTTTCAAATGCTACAGATGCGCATCATCTGAGGCATGTGTAACAGAGTAAAAGTATCACTGCGTAAGCTAAAGGAGTTCATGAAATACAGTTTAAAACAGGGCCTCAATGTCAGATAAGTAGCTGCAAGGCAGACAGAGGACTCTGCCTACTTCTTGGAACTGAAGATCTGGACACAGGACTGCAAATTTCTCAAGGTTATGTACTGCTTCTCAACATTGCCCCAAGATGGTTAGCACTTGTCTGACAAATTAACACTTTCACCAGGAACAGAGAAAACAGATGGTGGGTAATATACTTCTGATGAAGAGTGGAAAGAACAAGATTTACATAGCGCTTATAATAACAGTATAGTGCAGTGGTTAAGAGTGCAGGACTGGGACTCAGGCAATTTGAGCTCTAGTCCCCCCTGCTCAGCCATGGAACCAACTGGGTGACTTTGGGCCAGTTGCAGAGTCTCAACCAGCCCAAGCTACCTCACAGGTTTGTTGCTGTGGGGATAAGGTTGAGAGCAGGAAGAGAATGATGTAAGCCACTCTGAGTTCTTCAAAAAAGGAAAAAGGCAGGATTTAAATCTAATAAATCAACAAACATTTCTCAAGTGCTCAAGAGGCTTCATGTGCATTATATGCTGAAGATTATAGATGGGAGGTTGAGAAGGCTGCCTCAGATCTTTCAAGGCAAAATCGCTGAGGTGGTGTTGCTTGAACTTCTGAGATACTACAATATCTCAGCATTTCTGGCAGCTAAACATGTGCTTTGTTGTATATGCTAAACTCTATAGTTCACACTGAATTTAAATAAGTAGATTTGAAGAAAGGTGTGGCAATATTTTCTGTGTTTTCCAATGTTGTATTTGTAGTATTGTTAGTTCAATTAACTGCTGCTAGGACACTTATAGTATTGCCTTATTGAAACTTATTCTGCAGTATGCATGCTTTAGTTAATTACTCATTTTTCATAGTGAATGTAATTGCTATGGAATTGTTAGGAGTGATACTACTGTGAGTGTATTTTTATCTGTTATGAACCATCTTTGAGTTCAGTAATTGCAGAATAAAGATAGATAAATAAACCTGATTTGACTTCATTGTTTTAGCACATTTGCATGACACCACTGTACAGTTTAAGGATCCACGGAGTATTTGAAATTTGCTAGAGTTAAAATGAGCACCTT